AAAAGCAAAGCACAAAAGAATTTGAACTGAAACATATAGCCAGCACAACAAATCCTTAAAAACTCTGGCAATAATGAATTTTAATCCTTCGTCATATAATTTTAATCAGGGCTAAACATGGATTGCATGTAGATATAGACTATGCATTAAATGTATACATTACATGGATCATGAGCCAGATTATAGTGCTTGTGTGTTGTTTTGATAATCTTGCTTTTCTGCTCTTTTCTGGTATTTTTAAGGTACATGACTGATGGTGGGCTGGGCCTTTACACTCGAAGATTAAATAGACTTCCTGATGGGATGGCTGTTGTCCGGGAAACTCTGCAACGCAACACCTCACTGGGCCTGGGGGATGCTGACAGGTAAGCCTTTTACAGCTTTGTATTCCATTGCAGGCACCATGGGATGGGACACAGCTTGTGACAGCAGAACTGAACAACACTGATATAAAGATTTTTAAACACAGTAATAGACATTAAAAACAGTAATCACAGTTCAATAGAATCAACCGGCTGTGAGAGGTTGCCTGGCATATTATTTGGCTTGGTAGGTGGGTGACAGCAACCTCAGGGGGGCCATACATGGACGCCCGTTGCCTCAGCCTGGCAGAACAGCTCCATCTTGCAGGCCCTGCGGAATTGAAGAGGATCCCGCAGGGCCCTAATCTTGACAGGGAGCATGTTCCGCCAGGGCAGAAAAAGCCCTGGCCCTGGTCAAGGCAAGGCGGACATCCTTCGAGCCAGAGACAACCAGGAGATGTTGGTCCATAAAGCATAACGCTCTTCGGGGCGTGTACAGGAAGAGGCGGCCACTCAGATATGTTGGTCCCAGGCTGTGTAAGGCTTTAAAGGTTATTACCAACACCTTGAAGCAAACCCAGAAGTCAACCGGCAACCAATGCAGTTGGCGGAGCACCTGCTGAATGTCAGACCGCATAGGCGTTGATGTCAGCAGGCATGCCACTGCATTTTGCACCAGCTGTAATTTCTGGGTCAGCCTCAAGGGTAAGCCTACATAGAAAGAATTGTAGTTATCAAACCTGGAAGTGACCATTGCATGATCCTAGGGGGAGAGATAGGGTTTCAGTAAACTAATCTGCCTAGCATGGAAAAATGCAGATCTGGCGGCTGCACTAACCTGGGCCTCCATAGAAAGGGAGGCATCCAGTGTTACTCCCAGGCTCCTCACTGTCTGGCTTGGCACCAGAGGCGCCCTTTCCAGCGTGGGGAGTCTGATACCCACATCGATTCCCCCCCCCCGACCTAGGAACAGGACCTCCATTTTCAGTGGATTTAACTTCAGCTTGCTCTGCCGTAATGATCCAGCCACAGCATCCAAAGCATTGCAGGTGGCTACTGAAGTAGGCTGTTGCCTGCCCTTTCCCCAGCAAGCCTCCCAGAGGCCCTGCGTGCTTTCTGGCCTCCTCCAAGAGGGGTGTTCAGATCCGCTGCCCCCGGAAGGCAGGGGCACCTTCCGGCTGGGTCTGCAGCAGCAGCCAGCCGCTCCCCTGACCCCCGAGGCTCTGAATCCCAGTGAGCAGCTTTTGCGCTCAGCCAAGCTTCAGATCGGGCACTTCTGTTGTCTCTTTTCTTCATCTGTTTCTGTCGACTCTGCCTGCTAGCCCAGCTTCAGAAAGCCGCACGGGCAGCCCCAGAGCGAGGCAAGAGGACTCCTGCAGCAGCCGCCGGTTTGAAGGAGTGGCACAAGAGTGAGGCCCCACAAAGTGCGGTGCGCTCGGCAATGAAGCTGAAGCCTGTTGACTGGCTGGGGGGGTTGCATGTGCAAGCATTCAGAGCATGTGCAGCCCCCCCCCCCAAGGCAAATACCCCCCAGACCATTATAGCTCCAGAAAACAGGATGGGGGAGGGCAGAAGCTGGCTGCAGTACAGCTGCCAGTCCCCATTGGGAACTCATGTAAAATGTAATGTGTAGTTTGGCCCTTAGATGATATTGCTGGATATGGCAGGAACTCAATCAGGGTCCTTGTGCACACAAACCATTCACTTTATCACTGAACTCTCTCATAATACCAGCCTGTTGTGTTAAACCCAAGTTGCTAATATGTGTGGTGTTTTATATTCCATAAAAGTATATTTATTTCCCTTTTAAATCGATTCCAGTTTTATGGGAACTGTATCATACTGCCAGGGATGGGGGGAATGCACACATTACATATTCGTGAAACTGCTTGCTCAGACAGCCCATACATTTAGTGAAAGATTCCTCTGCAGTACTTACAGCTGGAATGTAAGCAGACGAGCAGGAAGGTTATCATCTGCTTCTTGTAGCAACTCAAATAAGGAGGAGGAAAAAGACAATACAAACCTTGAAGTCTAGATCAGTGATGTTGATTCAGCAGCATGGAGTGCACGTAGTCCCAGATAAGAGGTTTTATTGTGATTGTGACTAAAGCTATTCTGATTAAGCAGGGCAGAAATCCTGTTGTCATGCTATTACTCTAAATGAGGTGAATTATTCTGGCATGGGTCCATCCCACTTAGTACTTGTATGTGAAAATCAATGGGAGTAGATATCAACGGGTTATAATAAATAAAAAATAAATAAAATGTCATAGTTTGTTTCTAAACCCACTTCATGCCAGAAGCACATTTTAACATTGCTGGAGCTGAATGCCACAGGATTCACGGCATTCACACTTTAAAGAAATGAAAAGAAAAGAAAAGCTTATTGCTGAGATATACACAGTGGAGTTCTTCCATACTTGCAGCCGCTGGAATGACATGATATCTCATTAGCCAGAGACAGCATGGAAGGTTGTCCATATTAACTATATTAGCATCAAACAAGAATCTTACAAGATATATTTTCCCCTGAAGCTGAACAAGAGTTCTGAATTGAGGAAAATTAATTTAATGCCTGATTGCGAGACTAATGGAGATCATCACATAAACAGCTGAGCTTACTAATTTTGTGTTTTGTGTGCATAGTCATGTACACCATTCACAGTCCCTTGAAATTTAGAGTTGTTATACTGTTCTCCAAAGCTGGGTTCTGAAGGTCTTCACAGGAGCTGAGAACACCTGTTGGTCAGGAGCAGGTACAAAGAAGTTATCCACTGGTTGAAAAACTCCAACCCACCAGGCAGATCTGCAGTGCAATAATTCCTATCCTTTAATAAGGGAAAGCTGCCAGAAGAGGGGAAAGGATGATGGCCCATCTGATAACATGGATCAGTAGGCATTATAGACCTGAGCAGGAGGTAAAAAGCCAGTCATACAGGATAAGACATACAGGATGTCAGTGGGGCAAATCAGTTTATCTCATTAGTTGTTGGTGAAAATATTAGTCAGGCAGGCAGACAGTATACAACTTGTTTCCTTGTATATGACAATATATGAAATGGTCCATAGTGCCTGCAGACTACCCATATTTACCTGAAAGGAAGACAACTTTGTCATCCTAACTGACTCATTACAACTGAAATTAATCTTAAAGCTGCTTCCTTTGATGGATTACGAGGTGCATGAACAACTGCTTTTAAAGTCAATATAAAAGAAAACATACATGGCTAAATGTATGTGAGACATGATGAGACAACTCTTCTTTGAGCCATCCATGTTTCAATGGTCCTGGTCACATGGGCCGTAAACTGCGCGCGGGGGGGGGGAAGCGTGGCAGTTTGGCCCGGAGCAAAATAACACGCGGCCACCCAATCACAGGTCCCGTCGAGGTCCCGTGGGTAGGGGCGAGGTGGCAATTACACGAAGATCCTGCAGCACGGCAGAGAAGCAGCGCGGCGCAATCTCAGCAACGGCATGCGCGATTCTGCGGAGCAACAGAACTTTCACTTTCCTCTTTGTGTGCATGCGCCGTTGGGTGCTTGTGCGCATCCTGTGGAAACTTTTGGGAAAAAAACCTGTTTGCGACGGGACATGGGCGGGCGCCGGATGCCACGGACTACCACCGGAAATGCGATCAGACGCCAGCCCTTGCCCTGCAGTTTCTGGAAACTAGTACCTCGGAGGTACTAGTTTTTAACTCCGCATCTTCGGTGGGAAGCCTCAGGTTCGCCATGGGAGCTCTACACTTCCCAGATGTTGCGGTGTGATCACGCCCGGAAAAAATCTGCCTATCATCCATCTCAGTAGAATGCTCCATGTGACCGCAGCCTACATATGTTTCTGTATGCTACTGTGAAAAAAGTACAGCTCAGAAATCTTGTGATTGTTTTTTGAGCCGGCATCAAGAGAAATGAACCATTGCTCCCTGTAAAGTTTATAGGAGCCAAGAAGTCTTCCCCACCAGATGTGCCTTGAGCACAAATGTCTGCCGGCTAAGCAATTACTGTGGCTGTTATCTGTGCTTCTCTCCAGGACATGACACTTGATCTTGAACTGGAGGACAGCTTGTCCTATGTGTCCTTTCAGGATTTCAATATCGAGTAAAAAACTTATTTGTATTGGTAAAGATAAAGACTTGACTGTGACTGCCTAGTGGTCCTTGAAGGGAGAGCTTGCTTTCTGTCTGAAGGCAGGAGACTAATGAGTGTCAAAGTAGTCATGGTGCTGTCCACAAGTCCAATGCATGGAAGCCAGTGCCATTTTAAAGCAATTTAAAAATACCATGAGGTCCTAGTCCTGATAGAGTTTGTAGCACAGTGGT